TACGATTGACTTGCAACTAATGTAGAACCGGCTTAAAACAGCGCATAAAGCTGGTTCTACATTAATCGCAGCGCAGCGTCGCAAGCGTTGCGGTCCAATCAGAGTCAAACTAGCTTGATGTTCATTGGGCAGCAACGCTTGCGATACGACTGATGTAGAACCAGCTTAACGTAACGAGCGCCAACGCACAAGCTTGTGCATCAAACTTTATCTTAACCTAAAAACTGCTTTAAATGCACTGAGCACGCAAAATTATCATATTGATAATGAGTATGAAATAATATGAATTATAATCCATATTATATATATTTACAATTGATTTAATAGAAACAATTTATAAGGTTAGAACAAAATTCAGATACACCAAAGCCATAGAGAATGAACTGCGCGATCCGTGTATCAAAATGGTCGATAGGGATGAGAGACAGGGACGGCCATTTCTATCTCTTTCCATTCAACGGTGTAATGGGAGAGAGAATGAGAAGATTGGCCGTCTCCCACGGTCCTTCTCTTTCATTATTGTCGACCACATTTGATGCACTACTTGGATATGGATTGCGCAGTCCATTCTCAATGCCTTTGTGACCGACAGTGTACGAAAAATTTCGGTTTCCAAAAAATATGTCCCCTAACCAAGATGTTTACCGTATTAATAAAATTATACTCTAAATAGAAACTATAAGAAACCACCAATTAATTTTATAAGGAAAAGTTGATTAGTACTTTCATTTTTACAACATAATCAAGCTCAAGGTCATCAAAAATGTGTCTTCTAATGTAAAGATTTACCTCTATTTTATTTAAATTTATTTATATCATGTCTGTTTCTTAAAAAATTTAGCAATTATATTATTTAATAGTTTTACATTAATTAATAGAGCAAAATTTTTGCTTTGAGAATCTTTTTCAAATTGCAGCACAATTTTTGACAGAATTATGAGCAAAGTCAAAATGCTTATTTATTATTTAATTCGCGATAATTTTAGTAACAAAAAACCTAATTTTAGTAACAAGAAACATCTTTAAAAAGTGATTTTGTTAGGAAAACTTTAAGCTTCTACATCAGGAGTTAAAATTTTTGTACATTTTTTTTCCGAGACACATGATAAACCCACAAATCGGGATAGCATTTTCTCATTTCGTTCAGCTCGTAATTTTCTACATGCAAAAATGATCAAAATAAAAAAATAATGCCCTTTCAAAAGTAGATTTTAAATTTAAAATCTTTTTTAAATTTAAATTTTATTGATTTTTAACGAAGTAGCAACTGTCTGTAGTTTATTTTTTAAGAAAAATTGAATATTCCTAAATTTTTATGAACTTATTATGTATAAAATATTTCTTTAATAATATACATAAATTATATTTACTCTAATATATTGATATATGTCTCTACATTGTAATCGAAAGCAAAAGCAAAAACAATATAGATTGATTCTATAATTCTTCTTTCCAAGCTTCCCATAATTCAAATTCCTGAAATAGATTACATATAATGTAGTTTATATTATAAGAAACACATATTTAATTTATAATTTAAAATATAATTTAAACCAATATTAAGAATCTTTATAATTTAATATGCGTAATTAAATTATAAATACTTCTATAAAAATCACCAATATAACTCACATTAGCAATTTCTTTATCATAATTCTCTTGACAACTGTTCACAAAAGCCCTAGTTTCTTCCTCTATTTTTTTAATGTCTACTTGTAATTTATTCTTTTCCAAACTTTTTTCATTCAAACAATCTTGAGCTTTATCTAATTTAGTTTTCTGTATCTTTTTTTCACTACAAAAATCGAATTTTAATTATATATTTTTTTTACCAACATATAAAAAATTAAAAAATTATGAACAAAGTTAACCTTATTTTAATTAAAGAACAAATTAATTTTAGATTTATATAATATTACCTCAATAATTCACTATATAAATTGCATACTGAAATCATATCTTCCTCATTATATGTTTGTAATTCGTTCTTTTCAGTATCCACTTTATCTTTGTGCATTGCTAATTTAGTTTTTGATTCGCTCCATACATTATTCAATGAATCAATTTCCTTTATAATATTATTTATTTTTGTATTCTTGGCCCTATATTAGAAATAGAAAAATGTAATATATAATTCATTAATAACTATTTGAAAATATAAAATTTAGAATATAAAAATGAAAAAATACTTTAGCTCTTTATATGTATCTGCTAATATACAAAAGTCGTCACTTATTTTTTGGACAAAATTTAGCTTTTCTCCAATTTGTTTTATAGATTGTTTCTTTTCTTGAATAGCTTCTTGCATTGTACTGCGTTCTTCTTCTTTTAACTTATGTTGCTTCTCGATTTCATCTAAACGGGACTGATACTCTTTTGGTGAATGTACAACTTCTGACTGTATTTCAGTTATCATCTTGAACAGCTAAAAATTACATTATAAAATTTATTTATCTTATTATATGGAAATAAAAGTGGTACAATTACTTTAAAAACTGAAGATTCAAATAAAAATATTTACCTTTCCCGCTGCCGTCTTAACAGAACCACGAAGTTCCTTAGCTTTCTGATTTTCTTTATCAACATCGCTTTTCATTATTTCAAGTTCCATTTCCTTTTTATTGAGTTTCTCTATTATTGACTGCATATATTTTATGTCATCTTCTAACTAAAAATATGTACAATATTTTTATTGCAAACTTGAGATATTAATTAAAATCTAATATATACTTCATAACCGTCTATATTTTTTAACCTTTTCTTTCATGGATAATTGGTTTGCTTTATGTATAACTTTAGCATTAATAGATTCTGAAACATGAGTCTTTCTTTCTTTCAGATCTTCTAGTAGTTTAGATATAGTCTGAATTTGATCCATTCTGTCATTATATTCTGACTTCTTATGCATTGCATACAATACAAAGTTAGATAAAAATTTTGCTTGCTTTCTCAGTCGCTTTTGTCCTACAAAATTAGTTTGTAACATGAGCAATATCAGGGATTGGTAATGAGTAACAGCATTACTTTTATTATTACTTTTTATAATAATGATTTGGTAATGACATTGCAATTTTTTATGACGGTATTTATGAACAAACTAAAAGCTAAGGTTAGGAAGAAGTTATGTTTGAAAAGTATATAAATTGTCATTATTACAGATTGTTTATTGAAGAAAGTAACCCATTACTTGTAACAAGTTAAAGTAGCAAATTGATGCATTACAAATTTTTATGTTATTTTTCAAATAAATAACACATAATAAAGACAAGTTGTGTAGTTAGCTATTGTTACTGCCATAAACAAACTGTAACGTTATTGCCAAATTATTATTGTAGAAAGTAACAAGTAATAATAACAAAAATAACAGTTCCCATCTTTGTGTGGGCCAATAATGTTATATAGTAGTCTTTGCTCTTATAAAAAATTCTAAATTAAGATATTTGTACCTGGACTAGTAATATCGGTAAGACAAAAATCATGTAAAAATATCTTATCGAATATCTGTGCCACAACTACATATAAATTTATAAGATTTATAACATCAGAATCTTCAAAACATGTCATGGCTCCAAGCTGTTCTGGAATTGGCTGTAAATTTTTGTTGTAAGATATGATAATAAGATACATAAAAACAAATATCAATATCTTGTTACTTCAATTACATTTATATTGTATAGTGGCAACTGATACATATGAAATTTGAAATCTTACCTGATCAATCAAGCTCATATTGATGCCGAAACGTGTTAAGAATGTTGTTAACAAGTTCACGACATAATCTTCCTTTGGATTTTTAAGATCTTCAATAGTCGATGGTAATGCAGCATCCAATAAAGTAGAGTGAATTATTTCGACATCCGAAGATTTGTTCGCATTGTTCGCACTTTTTGTAGTCGACATCTTCGCTTTCTCTTTTTAACAACCAAACATATATCTATCTCATTTTAAGTGCAAAAATATTTGGGAATTTCATGCAACGCGAACAGAACTCATGAGCAATCAGCTGCTTGCAAATCAATTGATTTTAGGAAAAAAAGATTACGAGATAAAATACAGATATAATGCAGATAATGAAAGTAACGTGAAATACAATCTATATTTTCTTTATCAATTTAAATAGATTTGCGCAATTTACTTAAAAAGAAATTGCTTTTAGTTTCAAATTTCTAAATAGATTCAAAAAATAAATGGGTAATTATTCAGTTTAGCTAGTCTACCTCATTTAAGCATGATTCACTTACGTTATCTTTTTCTTCTTTCAGTCTCCTTTTTCACGTTTTTTGCGATTGCCTGCGACTTTAAAAAAACACAAAATCTTCTCGACTCCTCAGTATTCTCAAAATATGACGATAGCGAAATGCGATGTCTCACAAAGTCTCATTGGTCTCATTTAAATTCGTAACGTCAGATAACGTTCTAAAATTATTTGAATCCGTGTTCATCTAGGGTGCGGTAGAGTCACTCTAGGGCCGGTATTCATAGTCGGTTCTTATTTTAAGACCGTCTTAAGTAATGTCTTAAGTCGCTAATGCGGCCTTCTGATTGGTTCATGACTTCTTAAGACCGTACTTAAGACGGTCTTGAATATAAGATCTGACTATGAATACCGGCCTAGGGCTGCGTTCAAAAATATCACTCGGGTGTCTCCGTGTATTATTTTATCCTTGTTTAAAGGCCATTCTACGGCTGTGTTCCAAAATTGTTTGTCAGCGCTGGCAGTACTGCCAACACCGTTCCAAAAATCATCGTAGCACGCTGTGGC